ATTTCCTTTTCTTTTTCCTTTCCCTTTCCCCCTCCCCCTTCCCTCCCTCCCTGCCTTCCTTCCCTTCCTTCCTTTTCTTTCTTCCTCCCTTTCCATTTCCTTTCCCTTTCCCCCTCCCCTTCCCTCCCTCCCTCTCCCTTCCTACCTTCCCTTACCTTCTTTCCCTTCCTTCCTTTTCTTTCTTCCTCCCTTTCCATTTCCTTTTCTTTTTCCTTTCCCTTTCCGCCTCCCCCTTCCTTCCTTCCTCTCTCCTTCTTTTTTTCCCTTTCTTTCTTTCTTGTATATTAGGATCCCACAAAATGAGAGTTCCCCTCTCTATGATGGGTATCACACCAAATCCCAACCAGGAATGGCACCTGCTGTGAGCTACTAAATAGTGGGTTTAGCAAAGAACACACCTTCTCATGGGAACAGCACACAGGTTATAACCTGTGGCTGCCCCATCACCATGCTATTTGCTCACAGCAAAGATCCTCGGGAAGGAAATCCAGTAGTACCTGGAGTCTGATGATCATAGTCTGCACGTGACAGACATTCTGTCACTCTCATCCTTCAGCTGCTCTTAGGTTTCACCCAAACAAGCAAGGGAAGAAGCCTTCATAGGGCAGAAGCATTTCAGGGAGGTGGTCACTAAAAGCAGCGAGCTAGGACCTGGATGGTCAAACACGTTACCAAGGCTGATGGGAAATACGGTTCAATGAGATCTACTTCTAGCCACAGTGACCAGAGCGGGCTGCATGTCCCGGGCATTTTTTTCTGAGAGGATTTCAGGGCAGTGAAACTCCTCTGTGAGGTACTCCCGTGGTGGACACACATCATTGTATGTATGTCCAAACCCACAGCACATACAACACGAAGAGTGGAGCCTGATGTCACCAATGGGCTCCAGGTGATGACGATACGTCTGTGCAGGTTCACGGATTGTAACGGGCACCCCTCTCTGCCGGGGATGTTGATAATGGGGAGATCGTGGGTGAGGGGGGAAGGTATGTGGGAAGTCTCTGTACTTTCCTCTCATTTTTGCTAGGGCACTGACACTGCTCTAAAAAAAATGAAGTCTTCTAAAAAAAGATAATCTTCAAACAAAAATGTAAATCAAATTAAACCAAAGCAACCTGTCAGCCAGTTATTTAGAGAACTGTCTTCTCCTGGCTGACTCCCCAGCACCAAAAATGCCTTTTCTAACATCAACTCCTTAACTCGCTGAGTGCCAGAGAAGAGCAGGCTCCGTTCAGCTCTGGGAGCCATAATAAGCAAGAGGCTTCACCAACACCTCGAGGGGGAGGGCGGATGAAGGACACCCCCAGAGCTGAGGAGAACTCGCAGCCTCCCTCCACTCCATCCTGGAGCAGGTGAGCTCTCTCCAGAAGGAACGTGCAGACCCAATACCCATGTTATGAGAGCCTGGGCTATTTTATAAGCATCGGGACCTAAACAAATCCTGCACAGTCGTAAGTGTGTCTGTCTTGAAGAATCACAGGAATGAACACCGAGGGAGATTTCCTGTATTCCGCAAAGGGAATGTTTGCCTTTTCCTGCCCCGGGCCCCTTGGGTATGTGTACTAACATGGAACTGACTATGCATCAAAACAGCCCCAACACTCTAGAGATTGACACGGTTTATGAAGCTCTCTTTTGCCTAAGGGCATTGTCTCTCTCTCTTTTTTTTAAGATTTTTTATTTATTCATTCGAGAGAGAGCGAGAGCACAAGTGGGGGGAGAAACAGAGGTAGAGGGAGAAGCAGACTCCCTGCAGAGCAGGGAGCCCGATATGGGGCTCGATCCCAGGACCCCGGGATCATGACCTGAGCCGAAGGCAGATGCTTAACGACTGAGCCCCCCAGGCACCCCTAAGGGCATTGTCTTTTCAAAGATCTTCTCTTTAAGTGTGCCCCAATTAATGTGATGGAATTGGTGGCCTCCTCCCACCATCCCTATGCAGTGCTGGCAACACCATTCCTAATATGCCAGAGCATTTCCCTTACGAATGGCCCAGAATATGGGGGTGCCTTGGGTGGCTCAATCGGACTCTTGATTTTGGCTCAGGTCGTGATCTCAGGATCCTGAGATCGAGCTCTGCATTGGGCTCCGTGCTCAGTGGGGAGTCTGAGATTCTCTCTCTCCCTCCCCCTCTGCCCCTCCCCCTGCTCCCTCTAAGGTAAATACATAAATCTTAAAAAAAAAAAAAAAAAAAAAGAATGGCCCAGAACACGGATTCTCATGTCCTAATCTCTGTAAGAACAGACTGGGGCTTTTATTTAAGTTTCCAAATCGAAAGGAAGCTTTAAAAAAGAAAAAAAAACAGTCAGTCATATGCAGAATGCAATCATCAGACTGCAATTGCTAATGTCTCCTCTCGGAGAATCTTTCATTCAGGAAAAAGCATGGTTAAGGGGCTGATTATAAATTATCAACTGCTTGCTCGTCCCATTAAAAGCTGGGCATGTTCTCTAATAAAACAGAAGAGAGAAACCACATTTATTAACAATTAGTAGATCTATTTTAAGCAAGGGTCGGGAACTGGACTTCAGCCCGCTCTGGTATTATTAAAGAGCATGACACATAAAACCAAATCCCCAGGCAAGCAGCTGCTGAATCAGCACCAGCCAAGATGCCAAGGTCCCAGTTAAGCAAGCGCACAGGCTACTGCCCTGACTCACTTAATCCTGCAGGAAGCTCGGGAGAGGGATTATAATTTACTGCTGGAGAAGAGGGAACTTTTTTAATGCTTGATCTTTAAGGCTGCGTGTTTTCTCATTGTTACACTGCCATGCTACAAAGTGGTAGCTTCTACTCTGTAAAGAAACAAATTTTAAAAAGATATAATTTAAGAAAGGGTTCAGTTTGGAAATGGTTCTCAAACCTGCACTTGTCAGGCAGGTATTCTGTCTCTCTGCATGCATTTGGATAACCGGACCCAGGTATCAGCGTGTTAAGACAGGACCCACCAGGCCATTTTTCTACAAACTATGTAACTAGCTTGAGAGTGGCAGTAGTCTCTTGGGAGTGCACTGAGCTGGACTTGTCGAGTAGGGCACAGTTAACATGTACTGTTTTTACTGTTAATCAGACCTCAATAAAATAGTATGTTTAAGTATAACTAAATTGGGTAGGGAGCACCTGGGTGGCTCAGTCGGTGAAGCGTCTGCCTTCGGCTCAGGTCATGGTCCCAGGGTCCCGGGATCGAGTCCCACGTCGGGCTCCCTGCTCAGCGGAAAGCCTGCTTCTCCCTCTGCCTCTGTCTCTCCCCCTGCTTGTGCGCATGCACTCTCTCTCAAATAAATATTTTTAAAAACTGGATTGAAAATATAGGAATGGTGACTAAACCATAATACATTCACTGATCAAACTTCACACACGTATTAAAGTAGTTTGTAAACCTGTAGTAACATGGCATGCTTCTCCAGACAAAGTTTGTTGGAAAAAACGTGCTTAGAACAAGGGCTACTCCGTAAAACAAAGAGACCAGAGACTCTCGTCACTTGCACATCACGACCCCTGGAAGCTCTGCCTACAGCAACCGCCACAGAGCCATGGGCTTCTGGGAGCCGCGAGGTTGCAGCCTGGGGTGCCTCCCTCGTGGATCCAGGGTAGACCAAGTTCAACTGCTTCCACGGGAGCCCTGCGGCTGGGACCCCAGCTACAGGAGCCCCCCCCAAGGGGCAAGCCCCACACTGGGTGGGTGGGTGGCTCCACCCTGGGAAACGGGTTGGCATCATCTGGCGGGGAGGAGATGCCGTACCCCACAACTCATCAGCTCCGCCCCCAGCTGTGCAGCGAGGCCTGCAGCAAGCTTCTTCCCCTTGTTCGCGTACCCCGTGGAATGATCTGTAAGATGTGTGCTCTCCTTTGTGCATTAAGTGGCCATCTAGAATTTTCATGATAGAGTTTAAACAGATGCAAAGCATAGAATTTCAGGGAGAATCCAAATCCTGATATTTTAAAACAAAAGAGTTCCATCACTCTCTTCAGTGCAACCACCAGAATAAAAACACCCATGGTGATGTGATTTCCACCATTACCCATTTTAAAAAATATTGGAGCAAACTGCTTTTTACGAGTGAAATATGTCCTATCATCTTTTATTCTCGTTTTGTGAGAAATACAACTTCTATTCACTCCTGCCTCAGAATTAGACATATTTTTATGCTGGAACGTTTCCATAGTTGGTCACTTCATCATACTCTTTCATAAAAACTGTTTAAGTGCTGAGATTTAATGTTCTGTTTCTTGTGACTCTGTGAAAATATGTTCCCATAGATCAAGTTATCAGGAACAACAGTTGTGGCACAAAATCGATCAAACAACGTGATGATGTGTCTTGAAAAAAAAATCAGAAATTCTATTGGTAATAAAATTCTCAATACTATGATCGCAGGAGGCTTTGCCAGTGTTTCCGGTGAGGCTGACGTGGGCAGAGGAAGGGGCACATGACCCTAACCTCAGGCACATTCCCGGGCAGTGCAGATCTGAGAAAGGATGCTGGTGGGCATCTTGGGGCTGGAAACTGGTTGGGTCGGGGTTTAGCTGTCAGTGTAAACATGCACCAGAAGCTGCATTTGGGAAACTGTTTGCTGACTGTGTCTACATGTCTGTGGGCCAGCCTGTCAGTGGACACTGGAAGGGTCAACTCGGGAGGCTGCCCCGCTGCATCGCTTTGGCGCCAAGGATGCTGGTGCGGGCTCTGGAGCTGGCCCCCTACTTGGAGATGCACATGGGCCTGTGACCCCCGCCCTTCCTCCGAGCTCACCCTCTACGGGGACTGAGCTCAGCAGTCCCTGCTCCCTCAGGATGATGGCGAGCTGGGGAGGGGCCACTTAGCCAATGGTCATCCAGGTGAGCCACTTTGGATTGTCACCTAGACCCAGCTCTGTACCCCTGAGACCCCATGTCTGACCTGACAAGGGAGCAAGCGCAACCCAGCACGATCCACTTTTCAGTTCTCCTTGGACCCGAGAATGGGTGGCAGTGACCCCTCCCTGAGGTGCCCGGACCCTTACCTGCCATTGACCACGCTCTTCTTCTCCAGCCCACTGGGCAGAACCACGGTGACCGCCACCATGCTGTTCCTCAAGTTCTCCTTCATGTGCAGCAGGTTCTGTGGAGGGCCAGGGGACACATCCCGGGGAAGCTTCTGTCTGCTGTGCACATTGGGCGTGGTCGGTTTTCCAGGAGGAGGGGGGGCACGAGCCTTCATCTTCCTCCTTAAACAGTGACAGCACAGAAGGACTGAATGAGGCGACAGCTTCCAACTATGACCTTAATACCATCACCCATGAGCATCCAGCAGGTTTCTAGGACTTGCCCTCATGACAAACCATTCTGATAAGTATTTCTCCCTCCTCAGAACAGCCTTCTGAGGTACATAACCCTTTTTAAAATCCCAAAAATTGGCACACTCCTCAATACTAACAGAAAGGGGACAATTAAGAAGAACAGAAGAAGCATGCTTGAAAAGAAGTGTGCTTGAAAAGAAGCGTGACTGAAAAGAAAGGATCAGCCAAAAAATGGGTTTACCACCAGCGAGTGGCATGGTCATAATTTATACAGATCAAGGAGGGGTTGGTGCAGCAGAGTTTGCGTGGACCAGCCCTTTCTGAGCCACTGAGTGGCCACCTAGTTATGTGGACTCCACCAATGGTCTGCTTCACTCCAGCTTCGATCCATGACCATGACCAGCTGAGGCTCTGGAATCCACAGATCCATGATGTTGGGAACGTGTTATGGCAGCATCAGGATGTACTAAATTAGCCAGAAAGCCCATCTGACCAACGCCCACCCAAAGGCCACTGTGTATGCAGGTGGCTGCTGGGCGGCGAGGGACACGAGTGATAATACTGTCACCTTATTCCTGGCTATGCTTTGAATTCTCAGTTCACTTTGCAGGAGATTTATAAACATATGACAGCAAGTCACCCCATCTGAGAAACATGAACATTTTTAAGAAATTTTTTAATTAATTTTATTTTTTACTCTAATTTTATTTTATCATGTTGTGTTAGTCACCGTACAATACATCATTAGTTTTTGATGCAGTGTTCCACGATTCATTGTTTGTGCATAACACCCAGTGCTCCATGCAGAACGTGCCCTCTTTAATACCCATCACCAGGCTAACCCACCCTCCCACCCCCCTCCCCTCTAGAGCCCTCAGTTTGTTTTTCAGAGTCCGTCGTCTCTCATGTGGAGGGCCAGGGGACACATCCCGGGGAAGCTTCTGTCTGCTGTGCACATTGGGCGTTCATCTCCCACTCTGATTTCCCCCCCGTCATTTTCTCCTTCCTTCTCCTAATGTCCCCCATGCTATTCCTTATATTCCACAAATAAGTGAAACCATATGACGAGGAACAAGAACATTTTGAGAAAGTCTTGTCTCCTCCAGATTATTCAGGAAGGCAAATGGCCTTACTTGACATATGTATTTTATTTTATATAAAGGTATGTCTCTGTCTACATGTATGCATACATATGTGTATATATATATGTACATATAGAGACATTTATGTGTACATAAGGACCTTATTTTACAGAGGCCCTAGGTATTTTACAATAGCTAGTATTTACTCAGCACCAGGGCCTCTGCTAATAATAACTTTAGGAAGCTCACCTCATTCAATGCTCCAACTATTTGGCAGCTGAGAAAATTGCACATCCAAGAGATTCGTAGCAACCTTGAAGGCCCATGGTTATTGGTGTTGGAGCTGGGATGGAGAGCAGATGTGCCCGACTCCCAGGGGCTTCTCCTGCCCACCTTGCCACCCCCCCCACCTCCTGCCATGCTCTGCTGATCCACAAAGAGCTAACGAGCTTAAATCCTCCTGCAGAGCAATCTTCTTGGGGGCACTCTGGCCCAAAGTATCAGGCACGGTAATTCCATTTCTAGAAATTGGTCCCAAAGAAATAATCCCTCAATTATTGCACCATGGGAGGTTCAAAGGTGCTCAGTATGACATAATTTACAATGGCAAACAAACATAAAATAATCGAACCACAGGTCAATAAGAGACAATTTCAAAAAGCTATGGTACTTTAAAACAATGCTATACTGGTACTAGTTAAATACACTCTAAAAGTACAAAATTTGATGTGCCAAAATACTTGATTTAAGTTTTTTTTTAGAAAACAAATATTATTTTAGAAAATTCCATTTTTAAGAGAATTAGGCATTGTTGCAATAGATCATAAACAATGTAGAAAGACACACTAAAGAATCTCCGGGTTATGTGTATTATGACATTTAGATATTTTCATTTCTACGCATTTCCTACTTTTTCTATAATATCACCTATATATGAATTACTTGTAAAACAAAAGAGGTTGCTTAAAATTGGGGGGAAAATAGTAAATGGGATTCCGAGCTGGGCACAAGCTTCTGCCATTCATGTCACTGGTTAACACAAAGATTTGGATCAGAATGACATTCCAGTCTCCTCCTCTACTGTGATGCGTAGACATAAATTAATTCCCTTTTTTCTTGGTAAAAACCTTACATCTGTGTCATAATTTTTATCATTTGTGACTATTCTTACCCCTTACATACTAATTTTTTAACTTACAGAAATGAAAATGAAGTAGTTGGCATATAGCATGTGGGTGGAAGGGCTTTATATTATTAATTCACCTACCCTCCCGATGACACTCTGAGGAGGTACTAACTATTTATAGGCAAAGAGTGTGGGCACATCTTGGTAAGACTAGAAAGTGGCAGAGCTAGCAATAAACCTGAATGATTTTAAGCACTGAATTCTCCAGCCTGTTATGAAGAATGGATGTCACCCCATTTTACAGATGAGGAAGTCGAGTCCCGGAGAAGTAGGTTACAGAGTCCTTCACTAGTCAGTCTTGGGTTCGGGGCTAGATGCTCAGGCCCCCAGCAGCCCACTTGCTATTCACGTTACCTCCCAAAGATGTTTTCATTGGGGAAAAAAAGTGTTTATTTTTATCATTTTGGGGAAATGAATACATTTGCCCAGGGAGCTCTCTCTTTATTTCCGGATACTAATAAACCTGGCTTGAACTCCTTCTGAGTCAAACAGAAGCAGCTCCTGACGCATTTATTCTTTCAGCCAGCATGACCATGGGAGCAGAAGCGGGGAGGGAGGCGTAAGAAATTGCCAGTCCCCGCAATTTTTCCCACATGAACAGTCTCCCCAGCTAGCCACCTGCCCCAGCTCTCATCACTGACATCTGCCCACGTGCAGCGTCCTCCTACCATCTAGACTCCGCCAGTGGATCCTGTTGCCTCTCGGGATTCCCTCACTCCAAACGCAGGAGATGAGCACTGACCACAGAGGGCTGTGCATCTTCTCACACCTTACTCCGCACGGTGTACCCTGACCCCACCCCCCATGCAAGAGTGACAGCCCTGCAGGCTGTGAGGACACCCAGGGGAGCTTCTGTCCAGCACAGTGTTACGTGGGTATGCACGTGTGCATGCGTGCATGCTTGTACATGCTTGTGCATGCACACTGAAGCTAGCCAACACTGATAAAACTGGAACATTTCACACAGCAACATAAATTTCTGGCTCCGGTAAGATCCGGTAAAGCCCTCAACTCCTTCATAGCAAAAACCGGGTGTGTGCTTCCATTTGGACTCAATGCTCTCACATACCTGTCCCCTGCAGGGCTGTAGCTAAAATCCAAAGCACTGGCACAGCCTGAAAGTCAGGGCTGTCCCCTGACCCTCCATCCTGAACCCACCCCTACTCTTCCCCCAGTCACCTGGCAATGGGTCTAATGCTCCCTGCTCCTGGAAAACCCACAATCATGCCCCCTTGCCTCTGCCACATCGTACACCCTGCCTCGTATGCTTTGCTCTCTTGAAAACACAGCTCAAAACCACGTCTTCTGAGAAGCCTCCGGATGCTCTGGGCCTAAGGACACAGGCTGAGACCAGTGCTCCCCTCCCAGCTACACTCAGGAAGCACATGAGAAGCTTAACCAAGTGCCCAAGTCCCAGCATGGACCAATCGAATCTGCATTCCCGGAGACGTGGTTATGTTAACGGATTGCAACATTTCTCTAGAACAGAGCCTCCTTAACATCAAAATGGCATGGGGTTTTAGTTGCGATTTCTGTATCATTTGACGAAAGCAACTGACAGATTATGAAGATGTATGTCGATAAATTTGTGAATTTGTGTTTTTTTCTTTTTTTTTTTAATATTTTATTTATTTGACAGAGAGAGAGAGAGAGACAGCGACAGAGGGAACACGGGCAGGGGGAGTGGGAGAGGGAGAAGCAGGCTTCCCGCTGAGCAGGGAGCCCGATGCGGGGCTCGATCCCAGGACCCCGGGATCATGACCTGAGCCGAAGGCAGACGCTTAACGACTGAGCCACCCAGGTGCCCCAAGTGTTTTTATTTTTCACTGAATAATATCTGCATATTTTGAGGGGTGCACTTGGGAAATTTCAGTCCATGCCAAAAATGGTGCCTGAGGTGTAGACGAAGTCAAGGCCAAACTTCAGAAGTGGTGTGTCTGTGAGCACACAGACCCCAGGGGGAGAAAGCCGCTCCACGCCAGCCCGAGACACTGGACACATGCAGCCACCCCCGCTGCTATCGACTTCCCCAACGTGGCAACTCTGGTGCCTCATGTCTTCAACTTAATTTAACATCTCTGGAGGACAGCAGATGTTTTGATTTTTTTAAAGATCTTATTTATTTATTTGAGAGAGAGAGCAAGCACATGAGCAAGGGGAGATGGGAGAAGCAGACTCCCTGCTGAGCAGGGAGCCCAATGTGGGGCTCGATCCTAGGACCCCGGGATCATGACCTGAGCTGAAATCAGATGCTTAACTGATGGAACCACCCAGGCATCCCAACAGCAGATGCCTTATTAAGGCTGTTTATATTCTCAATATGTAGTGCACTGCCCTTCATATCTACAGGTATTTACAAACACCTACTGATGGCGATGACCCTGGTGAAGGTGAAAACCACATAGGGTCTCAGCTTCAAGGTGCAGAGCAGACTTAGAAAATCCTGAGGCAAGAATGATCCTGAAGAGGGCACCTGGGTGGCTCAGTTTGTTAAGTGATTGCCTTTGGCTCAGGTCATGATCCTGGAGTCCCAGGATCGAGTCCTGCATCGGGCTCCCTGCTCAGCGGGGAGCCTGCTTCTCCCTCCACCTGCCAATCCCTCTCTCTCTCCCTCTGTGTGAGCTCTCTCTCTCTCTGCCTCAAATAAATAAATAAAATCT